GAGAACCAGTCAGAGGACTGAGAACTCTTGAGTTTGGGGTCAGACACATTCAGTTCAAGTGCCTATGGGACATCGAAGCTGCTGGAAACAACCATCAGGGAACTGAGAGGTCGGGCTGCAAATGCACATTTGGGAGTCAGCAGCCATCTAGACAGCAAGGAAGCCGGTGGCCATGAACTAGAGCATCAAGGAGAGCCGAGTGAGAAGCCAAGAGGACGCAGGGCGGCAACACCACCTGCCCAAGGAGAGGGTGAGGAGCCTGCAGGCGGAGAGTGGGGTCGGGGTGGTCAGAGCAGTGGGAGGAGCCCCCAGGGGAGCGGGTCATCAAAGCCAGGACCCTGCGTACCCACCTCTCCTCCCCTCCCTCTGCAGACAGGGAAACCAACAGGGAGGGGCTTGATCAGTGCCCGGGCCGCCAGCTTTCCCTGGGCAGACTGCACTGACAATCCCCAGCTCAAATTTGCTCCATTATCTGCTCCTGTGTGAGGCACGTCTCTGCCACATAATCTTCTTGTGTCGGTGTTGTTGTTAACCACCTTGCAAAACGTAAAAGCCATTCTTAGCTCACAGAGGGTAGTTTGCCGACTCCGGCCTGGAAGTACTCACACGCCCTGCTCCGTACCAACCTCCAGCCGAGGGGCGGGGGGGCTTATTCTGTCTGGCTTAGACCAGTCATCCACAACTGGTGTTCCAGAAACATCTGCCAGAGGCAACACTTGCTGCTGTCAGGAAGACAGTCCCCACTCCTCTTCCGCCCCAGCGGTTCCTCCCTCTGAAGGAGGAGGGCAGAAGGCACCTGCAGGCTTCCAGAGAGGTGGTCCCTGTGCTCTGTCCAGGGGCCAGAACAAGCCAAGGGGAGCACAGCCTAACCCAGGGCTCTTCTGGGCCAGGCCTCGGGCGCCACCTTGTGCCTTAGAGGCGAAGAGGGAGCTGGAGGCCTGTGCTAGAAGCAGGGGGCAGTCTGCCAAGCCCTTAAAAAATGAATCTTGGGGGAAATTGGAAGGGGAGGTGAACATTGAGAGACTATGGACTCTGAAAAACAATCTGAAGGGTTTGAAGAGGTGAGGGGGTGGGAGGTTGGGGGAACCAGGTGGTGGGTATTAGAGAGGGCACGGATTGCATGGAGCACTGGGTGTGGTACAAAAACAATGAATATTGTTATGCTGAAAATAAATTTTAAAAAATGATTTAAAAAAATGAATCTTGGAACACTGAAACAATAAAATAAAGTTAAAAAAAAAAGATTCTCTCTCTAAAAAGAAAAAAAGAATGATTCATGGAAACATGCCAATCGTGACCTCCGCCGTGTTCCAGGCATTTCCACACACCATGGAATACTCTGGGTTGTGAGGGCAGCAACCCATGTGGTGAGGCCTGGGGTAGAAGGAGGCTAAGCCTTTACCCTCACAAGACAGATGGTTGTGTCCAGGACAGAGAAGCACAAAGAAATAAGTAAATGATTAAGAATAAAGGGGCCAAGGTGAAGGGTCACGGGGGGATCTATTTAGACAGATGACCAGGGCACCTCTCACAATGGAGGGACCTCTCTGCATAGCCTGAGGGATGAAAAGAGGCTGACCCAGTTCAAGGAGCCAGAGAAGCATTCTCCTGAGAGAGATTAGCACGTGCAAAGGTCCTGAGGAACAGAGTTTGTGGGATCCAAGACAGTCAAGGGAGCTGTATGTGGCTGCAGCAGTGGCTGCAGGTGGGGGTCCCTGGGGGAGGGTGACAGAGAGGGGAATTGGCGTAAGACGAAGATGAAGTAGCAGAGGTCAGATAGTGAAGATCCTGGCAGACCACGGTCAAGAGTTTGTACTTTCTTCTAAAAGCAATGAGAAGCCAATGAAGTGTTTAAGCAGGGGACTTGATTTAATTTATATTTCTGAGACAGTGAACTATCATGGTGGTTTTTAATGTGGCTGAAACAGCATACCACAATTCTCATTCCTTTTGAGTATTAAAATACTGCCTTCATCCCTCCCCCATCCCCTCCCCATGGTCCCCTAAGGTCTGCTCTGAGTAGGAGCTAATGTTGCTGCCCTTCCCCATCAGACCTTGTGAAAATGTCTTCCAGCCCGCTGCCCCAGCCTCCTCCCTGACCACGTTCTGGGGGACTCTCCTCACATGGGAACACCCCATGTTCCGTAAAGCCTCTTGATGGGAACAAGGATGTGGGAGGTGGTGGGGGCAGGGGGAAAGAACACCCTTGCTGAAACTCTTAACTAGTTCTCAGCATCCCTAGGAGAACCCAGAATCCTCCCGAGCTCTCACCTGGGAGTGAGAACAGCCCCCGACACACACTACAGCAGCCCAGAGCTGTGGAGGGGGCACAGACGGGGCAGTTTGCACCCATCACCCATCCCCTCATTGGTACTCTTGAGGTTGCTCGGGGTGGACCAGATCTCCCCTAGTGTTGCCCTGTAAGCTCAGGCAAAGACTCCTAGGAAAGGTACCAGTGCCCCCTGCTGGTCGTGCTCTTCCCCAGCCGAACTCACAGTGGGGTGGAGAACCCTGTTTCTGGTAGCTTCCATCCTTCACCCTTTTAAGCCACATGTAGCAATTTATAACTGAGTAAAAAGAGAAATATCCTGTCAAGCTGATGGATTATTCTGTCCATATATCCTCAAGAAATTGTTGGATGGATTTTTTTTTACCAAATTTACTCTCTTTTTAAGAGTATGTCATAGAAAAAGGGTTTTTTAAAGTGTAATAGTCCATCACTACAATTTACTAGCCATGTATGTTCCCTAGCATGCCCAAAGTCTCCTTCCACTCAAATAGAGTGGTAACACTCACCCAACCTGGCAGCGGCTTCATAGAGAGGTACCAGAGATGCCCTGTGGGCTGCCGGGGTTACACGGAAGGCTCCTGACTGGTGTTTGTGAGAACAGACAAAGGAATCTGATCTGACCTCCAGGAACAAGTGACCAGCAGGTGCTAGTGGCATTTAGTTCCAGAGTTTGAAAAATGTCTTGTGGACAGGGTGTCTTTTCTAAGGCATGCCTGGCGTTCCAGGTCTGGGTGTGAGCCTGGGTGTCCAGTTCCGAAATTCTTGCCCTTCCCCCTTCCTCACAGCCCCACCAAGAGTCAGGGTACTCTTAGAATGTGAGTCAAAATTCTGGCTTGGTGGGGGGCAGGAACGAATGAGATTGAGCTAGCAAATGCACCTGTACGAGGTTGCAACAGGTGGGTAACGGATTTTCCTGATACCCTGAGTGCTTGGGGCATCACTCCCCTCCTGTGATTCCCTTTATCTCTTTGGCAGAGCCCTAACCCCACAGGCGGAGGTCCTAGGGCTGTACTAATGTGCTCATAACAGGGGGAAATTAACACCAGCCAAAATGGGGTCCTCTGGATAAATGGACATTCACATGCAGTCATCTCGCACAGGGTGGTTTATCAACACATGAAAAGACTTAGCCGTGAAAATGCTCACCGCAGCCTCACTTGTAATTGAAAAAAGCGCGGTGGGGAGAAACCATCAAATGTCTTTAAATGTCTAACATCGAGGTCTGACTAAATAAGGAATGCTACATCCCTCCGAGGAATGTACTTTGAAGTTGGCCAAGGTCATATTGCAGAAGAGGACACAATGTCAAGGAATGTTCTTCAGGAGTCCAGACTTGGGGTCCAGGACTCCCAAGGAGATGCTTCTAGAAGGGAGTTGGCATCACCTGAGATGCTTACTTAAGCATCCTGAGCCCCCCTCCAGCTCAACAGAACTTGAACTTCTGGCTGGAAAGGCAGGAAACCTAACAGGCTCCCCCAGATGATTCTTACACATGCTAAAGTGTGAGAATCTGTGCCGTGGGGATGCCAAAAGTTAAGAAATACGCTGGTGTATTAAAAGAAAGAGAAGCTAGTTATATGCAAATTCAGTACATACAAAAATAATCTCATTCACATGTATGTGCACGCACATGTATGTATGTGCATGTGTGTGTGTCCTGAGAGGTACTGAGGACCGAAAATGAACAGCACTTACCTCTAGATCACAGTTTCTCAACCAGGACACTATTAGCCTTTGGGGCCAGCTAATTCTCTGCTGCGGGTACCATCCCGTGCATCATGGGAAGTTGAACAGCATCTCAGCTAGCTGCCCACTAGATGCCCGCTGCCCCCCTCACCCCCCCCGCACAGCGGTCACCATAAAAAGTATCTCCAGACTTTGCCAAATGTCCCCAGGGGGACAAGATGGTCCCAGGTTGAAAACCACCAGCCTAAATAGAAGGTATGATGGACAACCTTTCACTTTGTTTTTAGTCCATCTGCCCACGTTTTTTTTTTTTTTCTGGAATGAACATCAAGTATTTGAGTCATGTAAAAAATCTGGTGTTTCTTAATATGCCCTTGCCCATGCTGTCTCCCCTAAAATACACTCAGATGAGAAGATGTTCACATTAGTATTGATGGTTAACTAAACTACTTTTATTCTGAACTTGAAATGATTATGGCAAAGTACGTACAAAGGCCTTCCCCATGTCATTATTCCTTAAGAGGCTTTAAAATATTTATAACCTTTTGAATAGGCATCCTAATTTTAAGTATATGTGTTATAGAAACCATTATATAGGAAATGCTTTACAAAGGTAGTTGATGTTTTTTTGCAGAGTCCCTTATAAAAACCAAAAAGTATAAACACTCTAAAACCAACAATAGGAAACTGACTATGGCCCGTCCACTTGACGGACTACAATACAGGATCAAAATGATATTTGCAAAGAGTTTGGAACAATGTGAAGGAAGGGTTTATGCTCTTTTGTTAAGTGACAAAAAGGCAGGTACAAAATGGAACCTGTCACATCATCACTGGTGAGCATAACAATGATAACAACAAAAAGAACCCTGGGCAGGAACACAGATAAGAGAAATACAGCAAGGTGTGAAAAATACAACAGTGGCATCTGAGGTGGTTTTTTCCTCTCTAGTCTTCTAAAATGTCCACATTTTCTATAGTAAGCATATATGTATTAACAGTGATAGAAGAAAAAGTAAAATTAAAAAAAAAAACTCAAAATGATCACAAACAAAAATGTGCCAACATTTCGGGCAAGAAATACTTCTCCATACTGATCTATACACTAATTTCCATCCAGATGATAAAAGTAACTTTGTTCAAAGACTTAAACATATTCAGAAAGTACAATAGGAACTAAACGTGCTTGTCTCTACATTGATCAGCCCTGGGATGGATAAAATGTAAGGATGATTAGATGACTCAGATGGGCAAAAAAAGTTGTAGGGAGTCACATGATAACAGAAAACAATTTTTATGAAAAAAGAACTGGATCATTTTTCTTTCCCCAACCTGGGATCCCATTCTTTTAAAACAAAGGAGCTCATTTAAAAGGAGATAAAATAATTTGGGTTCAATTAGAATGAGCTATCCAAGGCCAGATTTCAGCCGCCTCATTGATGCTGAGCTAACTTGATTACATTCATTGGGGTGACAGACAATTCCAGCTCACGGGAAACACAATTGGTACAAACAAAGGCAGCCCTCCTGCATTTGTCAGGCAATGTTTGCCCAACCTGGCCATTCCCAGGTGGCTTCAGTGAATTCTCTTGTTAGGTCACTCCTCGGGCTTTGATGCGGACACAGACTATATCTTACAATAGACCTCAAAGAGAGAGGCAGCTGCATGCATTCGGTAGAAAATAGAAAAAGGCATGGCCAGGTTGACCACAATTATCCAAGGTTCAAAGCCAAAGACAATCTCCTCCAATCCGTTGTCGTACTCAGGGCGGCAGCCGAAGGCGGGAGGGATCCAGAGCTGGAAGCAAAGAGGAGCCCATGTTAGCAGCCGCCTCGGAAGCCCCATGTGACCCCCAGGCTCTAGCCTGGACTCAGGGACATGGAGTCACACCTGTCCCTGCACCACATTGCGCGTCTCCACAGAGCTCGTAAAAATCCACACAGCCCACCTGACCCTTCTCTGTTCCTTGGCCCCATCCTGAGTGAATGCTGCTCACACCCACCTGACTCTCTCCATCCCCACAGCCCTCACCTTGGACGGGTCCTCAGGATCCCCCACCGGAACGGCCACAATGACTCCAAATGGTCACACACACACATCCTCCCCCACTCTAGTGGATGCCTTCCATCACCGCAGACCTGACGGTGGGAGTGATCTTTGTAAAGCACACATCTGACCTTGACATTCCTCTGCTTGTCACTCTCCAGTGGCTCCCAACAGCCTTCAGGAGAAAGTCCAATTTCCCCCAATGACCAGGCACCTGTCCACATCTCCATGTCCCTCACTATGCCTTTCACTCCAACCTCTGAAGGCCAGATATGCCTTTCTCCCTCAAGTCTTCAGCTTTGCTTGTGCCTCTTCCTTTGTCACAGGCTCCCTGTCGGCCTTTTTTGACTGAATCCTACCTTATTCCAAGTCCTGAGATTACCACTCCTTCCAGGAAGTCCCCCTTGATCTAACCAGTCTGGTCAGGAATGCTCTGTGTTTCCACCGCCCCCAGGGTTTACCTATAGCAGAGGTTACCTGTTTATCACACCCGCTTTCACACACTAACACTGGTGCTCAGAGATCCTAGCCACATGGGCCTGGGCCACTGAGTTCTGGTGTCTCCTCTCTGGCTTGACCTAGAGAGACAGCCCAGGCCCTGCCCACGTCCCCCCCACCAGGGGAGAGGAGCACACGTTTTGGAGCCACATCTGGGTTTGTGGCTCTTACGGACTCTCATTTAACCCCTCCAAGCCCTCAGTGTCCTCACCTGTAAGATGCAAACAAGGACACCCATCTCCCACAGCTCAGAAGAGAATAAAATCCCAACTACTTTTGCAAAACCAAAAGCCGTAACTTGTCACTGCTGCTCATGGAAGCCACACACTGGTCCCCTCCTTGGTCTCCCTGCCCTGAGTCCTTCTCCTCTACCCCTGCATGGTGGCAGGCAGCCTCTCAGATGACCTCCCCCTCCCATCCCACCTCCTGGGAGTCACGTTCTTGTGAAGCCCCCTCCCCTTGAGTCCGGCTCAGCCTAGTGATTTGCCTCTCCCATCGAAATATGACAAAATTCATGAGGTGTCACTTCTGAGCTTGGGTGCTGAAAGGCTGCAGAGTCCCTCTTGATCACGCCCTCGTGCAGGAAAAGGAGCTATCCCCCCATTGCCTGCTGCCTTGTGACCAGGCACCAAGGGAGCTCCCAGCCCAGCAGCCCTCAAGGAACTCACACCCTAGGCCCAGCAGCCCCCCAGGAGTGGGTTGGGAAAGAGCCCCCAAGAGTCCATTCTGAAGTGGCGGCTGCCCCCAGTGGGCCATGTTCTCCTAGTAAGGGACCCTAGCAGAGCATCGGCTGAGCAGGGCTTAGACTCCTGCTCCACAGATGCCATGACGAGAAGGTGGTGATCAGGTTGCTGAATGTGGGGTGATTTCTTACACAGCAGGAGCTAACGGACAAGGGCTTCTCCGTACAGGTGTCACTTTGTATCTCTGCCCCACTGTGTTCTCAGGCTCTGCTTCTCAGGCCCCTCCCACCACTCCACCTGCTCCTCCCCAGCTGGTCCCCAGCTCTTCCTTTGCTCAGTCTCTCAGGGTTAGCCAGAGGCTCACCCCTGGGTCCTTCCCTCTACACACTTGATCCCTGGATGAGCTCCCCCAGCCTTGGCTGTAAATACCCACTATAGGCCGATGACTCCCCAGCTGGAATCACCCACCTGCTCCTCCCTCAAGGACCCCACAGGCTGCGTGGTGTCTCACCTGAATCTCAAACTCCACCCCCCCACCACCATCAGCAACATCTTCCTCCCTGTTGCTGTCAAAACTCCAGGTGTCATCCTTGTTTTCTTGCTCACCCTCAAAACCCTCCTCTGCCGCCCAGCCCATCAGCAATCCTGGAGGAACATTCCCCCAAGACACCCAGGCAGCCGTGTAGCCATTTCTGCCCCCATATACCTGCCCAGGCTCCCTGCTCTCTGCTCTCGCCTGGACCATTGCAGCAGCCTCCTGCCTGCTCTCCGGCTTACACTGAGCCCCCAGATGGGTCCATTCACCACTCAGCTGCCAGACTCATTCCTGATTAAGTCCCCACAGGTCTTCATGGCGTAGTTAAAATGAAGTCTACTCCCAACATGGGATTTTAAAGTCCTCTCTCAGCTGGCTAATCCATCGCCAACCCCTAATCCCACTGCCCAGATGTCCTGCAACCCTGGGGCCCCAGTCCATTGGCCCTTTGTGTGGTGGGAGAGAAAGCCCCTCACCCCAGCCTGGGCATTTTAATCTGAAACAACCACCAGCTGCGACCTCACACCCTCTCTGCTCGTTCTCTGTGGAGCACACATCACTGTAACGGTGTCTTGCTTGATGCTTATTGCCAGCTCTGCCCCCCAAGACCGAAAAGAAGGCGGAACCTTGGTCACATTGCCCCCATCACTCACAGCCATGCTGGCCCTTGGGAGACACCCAGTGGATAGATACTCAGGAGGGAAGGAAGGAGGAAAGACAGAGAGAAAAAAAGGGAAGGACAGATGGTGGGTCCTCTTTCCTGAAATCCAGATCTTTATATTGCTGTTAAGTTGGCTGGAGCTCTTGCTCCTCGTCCCATCAGGAGATGGGTCTCTGTCCCCTTCCCTTGAATCTGGGAGATGTGGTCACTGCTTGACCCATACAATATAGCAGAAGTGACACCACACAACATCCACACACAGGCCTTAATGGACTGGCACTTCTGGTCTCCCAATAGGTCAGCTCTGGGTCCCTGAGTTGCCACATAAGAAGCCCTGAGACCCCCACTCTCCGTACTGGAGAACCCATGTGGACGCACTATAGCCAAGCCCTCCTAGCCTCCCCCACCCCAGCCACCAGATCTTGGACCCTCCAGCCCAGTCCGCCCACCAACCCCAGCTGAAGCTGAGAAGAACAGGAGGATTTCCCAGCCAAGCCCCACCAGCATCTCTAACCCACAAGGTTGTAAGACCTAATCCCGTGGCTGTTGTTGTTATCCTTGTTTTGTTTTTTTAGAGAGGGAGACAGAGCATTCCAAGGCTCAATCCCATAACCCTGAGATCATAACCCGAACCAAAATCAAGAGTCAGATGCCTAATCGATGGAGCCACCTGAGCAGCCCAACAGCTGTCATTTTCATCCTACATTTGGGGTCCTTTGTTACGCAGCAGTAGGAAATGAAACATCTGCCTGTTGGCTACGCTCACCTGGGTATCTCCGAGACACTGCACAAAAGCAGGTGTCCAGTACTAAACTCAGGATCTTTCTTCCAAGCTGAGCCCCTCCCCAAGCCTGCCTCCCCTTCAGAGTCCCCAGTCTCCATAAATAGCATCACCATGTCTCCAAGAGCTCAAGTCAGAACCGGGTGTCATTGTTGACGTCTCCCCTCCTTCACATGCTACCATGTGGATGACCCCGGGACGTTATACTGAGTGAGATAAGCCGGCTGCGAAGAGACAAATGCCTTGTGATCCCACTTACGTGAGCTCCGTGGTGTGATCGAAGTCACAGAGACAGGAGGTAGGGCGCCATTGGCAGGACCCAGGGTGGTGGGCATAGGGGCTGTTTCGTGCCTGCCAAACTATAGTTTGCAGGGCGGAAAGGTTTCAGACACGGGTGGGGGGCACAATAGTGTGAGTGGACTTCCCACTACTGGACTATAGGCTTTAAAAGGGTTAAAATGGGGGGCATCTGGGTGGTTCAGTCCGTTAAGTGTCTGCCTTCTGCTCAGGTCATGATCCTGGGGTCCTGGGATCAAGTCTGGCATCAGACTCCCTGCTCTGCTCCCTGCTCCATCTGCCTGCTGCTCCCCCTGCTCATGCTCTATCAGATAAATAAATAAAATCTTTAGAATAAATAAATAAAAATGGTTAAATGGGAAATTTTATGCTACGTGCTGTTTACTACAATTAAAAATGAAGCTGAATTAAAAAGAAAAGAAGCAGGATTCAGATTCTGTCCTGACCTTGAAACCCTTCGGTGGTTTTCTGTTGCATTTGGGATTCCGTCTGCCTGTGGCCATTGCTCAGGAGGCCCTGCATGGTCTGCCATGGCACCTTTCATGGGTCCTTTCCCTTGCCTGCCCTCACTCGCTGCGTGGGTTTCCCTTCCTGCTCCTGGAGCACTTCCAGCAAGTCCTGCCTGGCGTGGCATCTCCCATGCCTGTTGTTCTGCCTGACCTACCCCCCGCCACCTGCCACCATCACCCCAGACCCCTGTGTTCCCATGGCACCCTAAATTCCATTGTCAACACCACCACCCTTCTTTGTCCACTCCACGGCCAGCTGTTGTCCCCTCCTAGACACCAACCACCCAGTCCTGGAGCAGATTTGCCGTCCCGTGGGACCCACAGCAGGTCTGCGAGTGCTGCCCGTGGAGTCGGCTGAGGGCACCCTCACCATCACTCTGCAGCGAGTTCCGTCCTCTGGCTCACTCCCCAGTGAACAGAGGCAGGGCCTGGGGACTTCAGGGGCTGAGCTCAGACGTGGAGAGACAGCATGTGTCCCCCTCCTGGGACAGAGCCCAGAGTCTGGACTCTGGGTCGCAACAGACCATCTGTTAGCACTTGATTCCACTATCGTACTGCTCTTCTTGTTCAAGCTTGTCCGAAAAAGCAAGCCACCTTCCTCACCAGTGGTCAAGCAAAGAATTCACAGGGAAAGTGGCTTTCCTGAACTTGCTGAAGACAGATCTATTCATCCCTCTGGGTGTGGAGCAAAAACAATACACATTAGGGAAATTCTAGAACCAACTCCGATTCTGTCAGATGAGCTGATACACCCCTCCCGTAAAACACAGACAAGCCTCCTGTAAAACACAGCTCCGCTGTAGTTGCTAATATCTCTCTCGTTTTCCCGTTTAACTCTTTCATCCACTGCTGTGCCCGCATAGTGCCCGACATACAGCAGGTGCTCCATAAGTGTCAATTCAATGAAAGAGGAGGGCCCACCTGGAGCCAAACTTTCCTGGGACCCCCTTATTCCTTCAGAGGTCCTCATAACTGTCTACCGACCGGAGGAGGACCAAGGTCCGGGACATCCAAAGCAAGACTCAGATTAGATCCTCACGCCCACTACTCTGGGTCAAGGGCCCATCATCTCCCATCTGGGAAGATACAGGGCTGCTTTTTTGTTCAGGTGTCCCGGCCCTCAGGCTTCCCTCTCTCCAACATTCTCGCACCTGCTGCTAAGGAGATCATTCCACAACACAAACCAGAAGGGGCCTCCATTGCCTCCAGCATAAAGACCAGACTCAGTCAGGCTTATGAAGTTCACTTGAGCCAGACCCACTACCAGGACCCGCCTTCCTGTTTCCTGAGCCACCGCTCTCCTCGATGTGCATGGGATTCATGCTAAACTACGTGCGGGTCCCAAAATAGGCTATGGTGTCTTCTACCTCTGTGCCTTTGAACATGGTGTGCCCTCTGCTCCAAATGCTTTCACTTGCCTTGACTGCCTGGCAAACTTCCAGCCTTTCCTGGACACCGAGGCAGCCAAAACTGAGATGCAGCACAACGTCAACAGTGCTACTTTCCACCAGAGGCTGGAAGGCAAAACTTCCACGTCCCTAGCCTCTCTTGCAGCAAGAGGTGACCATGTGAAAGCCACTGCCTGGCGGTAGTACTTCTCTCCTTCTTCGTGTCTTAAGCTAGGACGTGATGGTTGGTGCTGTTGCAGTCACCTTGCGGCCAAACGGCAACAAGCACCACACTAAGCATGGTGAAGTGGAGAGATGAATGTACCTAGATCCTTGATAATAGAGTTCATCTGCCAGGCCAACCCCAAGTTGCCAACCTTCAGAATTCTTATATTTAAGGCTGAAGATACCACTGGCCCAGCTTTCTATTCTTTATAGCCAAAAGCACTCTTAACTAAGCCTGGGCCTCCCCTCAATCCTTCCTGACTCACTGAAACCCTTCCCTGGATCCACGTTCCCCTGACACCTTGCACACACCTGTCCCAGTGATTGTCCTGCTCACTGTACATTTTTCCCTTGTGTCCCTCCTCCCTAGACTGTGACCCCTCTGAAGAAGAGGTTGTTGGGAAAGGTCATCCAAAAGACACAGCTGGTAGTTGACCCCTGAGCTGGACCGGGGTACTCAGAGGCTCCTCACACCCTCCCTTGTCCTTGGAATGTGGGCTCTGCTGGCCTTTTTTGCTCCCAGAAGCTGCTCCAAGGACACAGCCCTGAAATAAGGATGTGGTGTTGAGAACACCTGCACAGTATAGGGGACCGAGCCTGGCTGAGGCTTCTCTGTCTGTGTATCTACAAGCTTTTACAATTTGGCAGGCAGGGGCAGAGATCCGCTCGTCTTGCTACTGCCCCAGACAGGCCTTGTATGAAAGTTCCCTTGGCTTATGAAAACCGTCACCTACAAAGCTGGAGTGGCCTGCTCTCTCTGCCACCTCTCCTTGCCCTCCGCATGGGGCGTTCTGTTTCAGATCACACCCGGGAGGGTGTAACCAACAGACCGAGAGCCGTCTCAGCTGCTGTCTTTAGCCCCAATCCCAGCTGCCAGCATCCAGCTGTAGGCAAGGAAGTGGCTTTCATTCCAGCGTCATTCTTTAGCCTGACCCTTGAATCATTTTGCTAATAAGCTGCCTCCATTCGAGAAAAGCAAGGGGAAAAGTTTGATTATTTTTAAGATAAAGAACTCAATGCAGATTACCGAGATATTGCAGAGGAACAAAAATGCTGCAATATTCCTCAACACTCTTCTCTTGGCATCTCCTTGCAGGAAACGGGGCTGGCTGGCTGGGCCCGGGGTTCCTTCCTGGCTCCTCTCCTCTGACTCTCTGCCAAGGCCTTCTCTCGGGTACATATTTCCGTTGGCCGTGTGGGGCATCTCCCTGCCCAGGGAAGTCACGTCCATGGCCAGGGCTCCGCTCTTGAGGCGGGACGAGGCAAGGGATATGGTATCACCGTTGCAGACTGTAACTACCCGCAGGGTCCTGATGTCCTCAGAGAGCTTCTCCGGCTCCCGGTGAATGGACTCGATGATGAAGAGGTTCTGGATGTATTTCTCGGCGATCACCAGGATGGAGTAGGGCAGGTTGAACCAGGTGTACAGGGGGCGGGCTTCAGCACAGAGGATAGCCAAGATGGAGCCCCAGGAGATGAGCCAGGAGCCGGAGGCAGTGCTCACCAAGAGGTCTGCATCCAGTTTGCGGGCAGGGTTTCGGGACTCATCTAGCGACTTCTCATCTATCCTGTAGATCCGAATTCCAAGCAGCCCTGCGGCCCCCATGATCATCAGCAAGGCAATGGCGTACAGGTAGAACATGATGAGTGCCAACTCGCTCTTGGTTTTGGAGTGCCCGATCTGAACCAGATACACCACCACGACCCCAATCGTGGCAGCCAGCACACTCAGGCCCAGGACTGAGCCTGCCATGACCCCAGGAAACTTGAACTCCATGTTCTGATGCTGCTGACTGTCCACTTTGCGTCCGACATTCTTCCACAGGACGTAGAGCATCGTGGAAGCCAGGATCTGATACTCTATGTTGAAGGGGTAGAGGTAGTAGATCCCCTGGGAGATGGCAGAGCAGAACATCGGGGGCGAGCAGTTACACGGAGGTGTGTGGTCATCCAAGACTGGGGGTCAGAGGACACGCATTGGGGGTTGGTTAGCATGGTCAATGGGCAAGTGGAAAAATACAGAGAAATATTTCCACTGAGGATTCACACGTGGGTTTTCCCATTGAATTCAAGCTTTGTTTGGTGGCTTATTGTCACGTTTAATATTATGGCTAAATTGACAGTCATGAGTACTGCCTGCATGAATCATAGCTTATCCATACACTAGCCCCTGTGAATGGTATTGTGGAAACTTACTTAACATATAAAGATGTTTGCAAGATGTTGCTGAGCAAAAGAAGCTTGCTAAAAAGGATAGAGTATAATTTCATTTTTATAAAATATAGGTATATAGACGATAGATAGATAGACAGACATAGAAAAAATCTGGAAAGATATAAGCGAAAAGGTTAACAATGATTATCTCAGGGGGTGGGGGTGGGGAATTATCTGATGAGCACTGGGTGTTATACGCAACTGACAAGTCATCCAATACTATATCTAAAACTAATGATGTACTATAGATAGACTAATTGAATTTAAATTAAAAAAAAAGAACTATTTCCTAACAAATAAATAAATAATAAGATATGTAACAAAAGCCTTAAAGATGATACAGCTATCGTCTCTGATCTATAATTCTAATCTGTTTTAGGGACAAGTCAAAAATGTAATTAAAGCATTAGGTAAAATTTTGTGTGTGCATGTGCGTTTGCATGTGTGCATGCACATAAGAGAGAAACACATCAGTGTCCGACAATTTAGAAACTGTTAAGTGAATTTTGGTACATCCATACAATGGAATGGTAGGTGGCCATTAAAAATTATAATTGGGGTGCCTGGGTGGTTCAGTGGGTTAAAGCCTCTGCCTTTGGCTCAGGTCATGATCTCAGGGTCCTGGGATCAAGCCGCACATCGGGCTCTCTGCTCGGCGGGGAGCCTGCTTCTCTTCCTCTATCTCTCTGCCTGCCTCTCTGCCTACTTGTGATCTCTGTCTGTCAAATAAATAAATAAAATCTTTTTAAAAATTATAATTAAGTTGTGTTGTAATGATACAGGAAAATAATCATGTTACATGACAATGGAAACAAGTAAGAATAAATTCTGTATACAGTATCTTCTAAATGCATATCACAGCTCAGTACTCAGTTGTGAAATCAATTTAGTGGGTAGCTGCCAATATATTTTTTCAACAGAATGGATTTGTCATAGAATAGAACAGAATGGGATGGAATGACATCAGTGACAATAGAAATGTGAGCATCTCTGATACGGTAAGGTTACTATTTCATGACATATCTGTGCACACACAGGTCTGTGTGCATTTGGGTTGCAATGTGAGTTCTATTTCTTATTACAGGCTTCAGTCAAAAAAAAAAAAAGATTGAATAGCTATAGCATGATCTTAACTATACATAAATAAATAGGACACTACAAAAAATAAACCAATATTAACAGCATGGAACTACATTTCTGGGCAGGTGCTATTGTAGATTTTTTTTTTCCTTTATACTTTGTCATTGTTTTAGCTTATAATTTGCATATGCCAGGCATAAAATCAGATGGAAAGCTCTGTGGTAGCAGAAATCACCTCACCTTTGCAGAACACCACAATTTTGAACTCATAAGGAGTTTCCCACCACGTGAACCCAGTACACTACTCCACAAAAGTCAGGGGAAGAAATTGAGGAGAAAGGCTCAGATGAACAGAATGTTAGAGCTGATGGAGTCCTCCCTTTGTAAACGTATCCATGTCTGCATTCCCACAGGGGTTCCTGGAGCCAGATCAAATCCTGGTTCTGTGAACCTGGGCTAGTTACTTAACTTTCATGTGGCTTGATGGCTTCATCCATATGATAAGGTCAAAACTGACTACTCTACGGTGTTTGGGGTCCAAAATTAAGTGTGCCACATAGATGTACTAGAGCAGAAGCAGCATGCCAGACACTCAGCAGACACTTAACAAAAGTTTGTTTTTGTCATTGTTTTCACTGCTATTACTGTTATGGGCACTGACAAGGAAAAGAGAAGAACTTCTCCAAGAGTTGGCAGCCAGCATGGAGCAAGGGTTGGGGGTAAAGGAATAGTGTGTACTCCTGATTTCACTATCCCCACCCAACTGGTGAGGAAACAGTTTTAAGGTTGCCCTCAAGAAACATGCATGGCTCAGTCAGTTAGGCATCCGACTCTTGGTTTCAGCTCAGGTCATGATCTCAAGGTCATGAGTTCAAGCCTAGCATCTGGCTCCAAGCTGGGTAGTGAGTCTGCTTGAGATCCTCTCTCTCCCCCTTCCTCTTCCCTTCTCTCTCTCTCTTTCTCTCTCTCTCAAATACATAAATAAATTTAAAAAATAAATAAAGTTGCCTTTGGTGATGGCCCTGGGGTCATATGGAGAGTGTTGATGTGTAATACATCAAAGCTGAAAGGACTCCCTGAAAGTGTCTGTTGTGGGTTCCTTCACTTCATGAATGAGAAAAGTGAGGCCCAGAGAGGTTGAATGGCTTCGAAAAGTCACACAGCCAGTATGCAATAAGAACAAGACCCAAATCTGGGATATGTGGTTCCTATACATTTCCTCTCCCCACATTCCTGTCAGCCTGATCCCACTGCTCTAAGAGAGAAGTGACAGGTCATAAATTCTAAAGAACTTCGGAAGGAGTTTGATTGACACCACAGACTCTCAAAGAGGAGCAAGAGGGAATAAAGATGGGTCAAAAGTACAAGCCCGGTAGAGTTCAATAACAACTTCAAACAAACTGAAACCAATTAACGGCAACCCTTAGACTTCTCTGGGTATTTTTAAAAAGCTATACTTTTAGTCAAATGAACTGGTAATAGAGGCTTAATTAAAAACACAATGACTGCCAATTTTCCATAGTTGTAAACAACGACATTCACTTCCATTCCAAACTGTACCGTGAGAAATGGTACCCTAAATGATCACCCTTGGGTCTGACAAGTCCCTGAGTCACCGAAGAAACCATTAATTACACTCAACATGTCCTACTTATGGAACCAGGATTAGGGACTCGGGAGGTTTTGAAAGATTTTCAACAACAGATGATTGTCTGGCCAGCGTTGAGTTGGGTGGACCCTGTTCCCCTCCATCTCTGAGCATTCTGTCTCTGCGGGGTTCCAAGAGGTCCCAGCGTGGGGGTGGGGCAACTCTTAGCACTCACCTATGGTGATGTTCCCAAAGCCCAGAGTGATGAGCCGTTCCTTGTGCTCATTAAGTTGGTGCTTTGATTCATTCAGGACACCATTGGTCCACAGAAGCAGATTGGTGAACACCGAGTGGATCACCCCAAACCTGAAGAACACAAGGACTCAGTTACTGAACAGCCCTGGGAGGCTCCAAGCCCCATGGGGTGAGATGGAGACATGGCACATGTGCATACTCACACACACACACACACACACACACACGCCCACAGGCATGCACATGCATGTTTCCTTCTTAGCCATGATTCTGGTTTCACCAGGCAGCTCAGACTCTGGGTGGGTCCCTGTCTGGAGAGAGGCAGTTCTGTGGGAGCTTCCAAAGCCACAGTCCTGGCATTCTGTCATAATCCTGAACCTGCCACTTCTCAACTCACTGTCAATGGGACAAAAAGAAACTGGGTCTTGGAAGCAGAGGTCGAGGGATGGAAAATTCCTGAAAGCATACACCATCCCCACCATACCCCAAACCCTTTTTTCCAGAAGGGAAGAGGAGAAAACCATGAGGGAAAGAGGAAGGGCTACACTGGAAATCTAGAGAGTTGGGCATGCCTTTACTGTTGGCTGGCCAACCCAGTGATCATCATCCACTCCCTTTGTCTTGCCATTTACCTTTAGGGAAACTGAAGCAAGTCAGAGACTTGCTCTCTGGTCTCCCTTGAAGCTAAGCATGGCCACCCTGGCCAGTGGGGTGTGAGGTCAGGACTACTGGGCACTACCGAAAGTTTCTGCCTTCATGATGAAAGAGATAAAAATAAGAAAATCCTACTCACTGCCCCTCTCCTATTTATTTCCAGCCTTGAAAATAGAAACGAAGGCTGGTGTTCTGGCAGCTATCATGTGACCATGAAGCAAGCAGCATGAAATGCTAACCCACTGAGAATGGCAGAGCAAAAGCATAGAGTCTGTTCTGTGGCAAAATGCTGAGCCGCTGGAGTCTCAGACAGGCTCAGGAATTAGGTTGAAGTCACAAATAAAGACAGTAGCTGCCTTGGGGTTTGAAGAAGTAGTAAGCAGCAGAGCTGTCCTAGTCTGATCCCAGGGCCTGCCCTTGCCTCAATGCCACGTGGCTCCTGGGAAAAAGAAGATGAAGAGAAAGGAGGACGTTAGACTCTGGCACAGAGGAGAGGTCTGTGGGGAATAGTGTTCCAAAGGGATCAGAGCCTGTCTCAAAACCTCCAGTCCCCGTGCCTGCGGTTTAAGATGTATGCACATTGGTAGTTTCCAGGCACTTAACAATGGGCCTTGTGGGTAGCAGAAGCAATGAATCCTGGTGATTTGAGAGAGGCATCCTTGAAGCATGCAGAGCTGATGGTTCCTTGGGTGGAGAGCACAACACCAGAGGAAGCATGCCCGACCCATCTAACCAAGAGCACGCTTGTCCATGATCTGCCCACAGGAAAACTGCTACAACTGGGTCCTCAACCCTGACTTTTCCTCTCCTCTGAGTTTTAACCCCAGACGACCCCCTGGGGCTCCCACAAGTGACTGCAAGTCAAACTTCCCTCGTCTGAACCCTGCCTTCCTTGGGCAGCTGCAGAATGCCCAGGCACACGTGGAGAAGGAAACAGGTGTTTGCCCATCTGCTCACCCCTGTGCTTGCCCAGCTCTATAGACTGTGGCCAGCCTGCCCCAGGGCATCTGGGAGGCACAAGGTAGATCCTTGGACAAATGTAGACAATGCTGTTTGCCTCAGGCTGGTTGCCTTTTCTTCTACTTATAATGCACACATCTCCCTTTTCTTCTCCTCTTTCCTGAGCCAAATGGCACTGTCCAATCCCAGGCCACGGAAGCCGATGAGATAATGCCCACGCCACCTGCAACCAGAGCCTGGCGTGCCATGTGAGCTCCCTGCGGGCTGGCAGCCGCCTGCTGGTCTGACCTGGAAATTGTCCTATAGCCTAAAGGACTTCCTCATGCCAGGCCACCTTTCTCATACTTGGGACTGATAGCCCCAGACCACAGCAAAGACAAGTCTTAGGAGCCACTTCTAATCTCAGTTTATGTTCTCAGCTCTGCTTGCAGAACTCCTGTTCCTCCAAACCTCACCCTGGGGAGGAGAAAGGGACTCAAGCAAGTTAAGGAGAATTCTTAAATCAGGAGAAAAGTCCCAGGACATACTAAAAACACAGGACAGTGGAATATTAGCTCAAAAGACCAGGAAAAAAAAAAAAAAAAAACAAGTCCAGGAGTGGTAAGTTCTGAAGCCTTCAGGGCCTGACAGGAAATATGAAAGAAGAAAGCAGGTCTGGGGCACATTAGGGAGTGGTGGGGTTTGAAGCAAACTGAGAGAACGACCCCCACTCAGCTCTAGCCCTTTGTTGTATGCACTTCTGGGATGGCCAAATCTTCCAATTTTTCTAGAGAAGTCTGAATCTAAAGCCTGAAGGTGGTGAGTAACCCAAAAATATTTTAACACTTTACCCTACAAATGGAACAGATTAAATCAAGCTCTATGCCTATCTTGTTGAAGCCTCTCTCTGTCAAGGTTAGCAAAGGGGCCCCAAGATAGGGAGAGGCTTGTGTCCAGTCACTCAGGAAGCAGGGCCCACACAGCATTGTGTCGCATCCCTCAGAGTTCCCTCAGATGACAGATCCAGGTGGCAAATGTCTGGGTGTGTGGCCCAGGGCAGTATTAATCCAAACACTGATGGTGCAAGACACAGATGGGAGCCACACATGTGATTTTAGATTTTCTTTTCCCCACATTTTTAAAACATGGTAAGACAAGGAACAGGTGAAAGTGGGTTGGAATAATTTTCTCTGAAACCCAATCTCTCAAATACACTATGATGTCAACATATAATCAATACGAACACAAAAAAATTATTTGTGAGATATTTTATATTGTTTGTCATCCTAGTCTCTGAAATCTGGTATTTGTGTACTTCCTGCACATCTCCATTGGAAGTAACCCCAGCTCAAGGGCTCTGTAGCCACCTGTGTCTGGTGGCGGCTGTACTGGGCAGCAAGGATGTGGAAAGCAAACCCATTTTCTGCCTGTGGGGAAACAGACCCAATGTCCTAAGGCTGTTATTACACAAGTGACAAAAGCAAAGAGAGAGACCTCACCAGCAAAGCCAGGGGGCCACTGCGGTCACAGCAACACATGGAAATCACTCCCAGTGGCGACTGGGAGCTGTCTGGGGCTAGGACAGGCTGCCAGGGCACAGCTCCCAGGACCTGCCCCTGGAATAATGCTGGCCCATCACCCCTGCCTGGCAGCCAGCTCTGAGCACACTAGCCACATGGTTCATGCTTAACTGCTTGCTGAGGCTGATCCTTCCCACATAAGGAGATTGGTGCAAGTTATTTCTATATCAATAGTTTATCAAAATAGTTCTATCCAGGGGTCATCCATAAATCAGTCTTTTAAATATCTGTTGTCATTTCCAGTGCTACTGGGGGATTGTCTGTTCTTCACTGATAGGAGAGATCTTTCTAGGAAGCAAATGCTGATCCTTTGATTCACTGGTATGTGTGCACCCAGGGCTTTCTTGCATGAGAACAATACTTCCCATCTTGTTAATTCGCCCTGTTATCCTATCAGTTTGTTCCCTCGATCTTTACAATAGCTGAGAGAAAGGGGACAGATATAGTCACTGACCCCATGCTCACTGAGCACTTGTCATGCATTAGGCATACACTTTAGATCCATTACGTCATTCAGTCCTCAGAGTTTGGCTCTACTATTATCTCCATTTTACAGATGAGGAAAACTGAGGATCATAAGGGAAAGTGTCTCAGATGGCAGCGTGGGAATTGAAACCCACATCGTCCTACTTCATCCTACTTCCCGGCCGTCCCCAGAAAAAGGCGGATGGTGCAGGGTCTCCTCCCTCTGCCACAAGGGAGGGCTTCGCTTGTTGGGATGGAGGGGAGAGTTGGCCTCATATTTACAATCCAAGGTCCATAGCTGCCATGACTTTGTTTGTTCTCCATGTACACCAAATTCAATAGTCAAGCAAGTCCCGTGATGTTTACCTTTCCAGGGTTTTGAAAGACTGGATGACATCCTTCGCATGCCCCCAAAGAAAATACACCTGGAAATAAAGGGAAAAAAGAAAGATGCTTCAGTGAAAACCATCATTGTATTTGCATGTTGAGAAGCTATGAAACTTGCAGAACAGAATGGGAAGATGTTGAGGACCTCAGTGACCTCCCATCCCAGATTCGTCTCAGGTGTCAGTGCCATTCCTTGGCGGGGACCACGCTCCTCCTGGAGCCCAGGGTGAGAACCGAGTGAGGCTTCCAGGTTTGGGAGGAAGAGCTCCCAGGTCAGGTTGAAGCTATTGGTGGGGATGGGGCTTGGGGACTGGCAGCCCGAGTCTATCACCTATGTTAGGCTTCCTCCAAGAACTATCCACCAAACAGTTCCTATGCCAGTGGCCTGACACCATATTTTAAGTGCTTTAAATGAAGAGAAGATTGATTCAGGCTGGTCCTTCATTTCCTTGTGTGCCATGCACCACCCAGCACAGGGCAGGGACCCATGGGGGAGGCTAGTGTAGAACCTGTGTACAGATCCCTGGGCTAAGTCAGTGTACCTTTCTCCAGGTCTTTTCCCTTCCGTGAAACAGGGATGGTAACATTACTTACCTTGGAGGTTATTATGAGCCATCAAATGAGATCACCCAGGCTAAGTACTTAGAACAGCCCTTGGCGTACTCACGTTTTCAGTGAACGCTCTCCACTGGCAACTTACTCCCTGTTAGCTGAAATTCTCCTGCCTATCTGCTTTATTTGCGCTCCTAAAATATTTTGGGCTTTATTTCATACACACAAACACACACTGAGCACCCACCACATACTATACACTTTGGGGCACTTTATTTGTCTCACTTTATCTTCATTGTGCAATTACGCGCTACCAAAAGAAAATCAGATAGCACAAAAGAAAAAAATTCATGAACACATCATCTCTCTTCCACATTGTTTTACCTAAGACTTACTGGCCTGCTCTGAAAACACTTTCAGGGCACAGTTCCTGAGACATCCAGCAACTTAAAAGTCTGACAGCAGTGGCTCCTGGTGGAGACGACTTTCAGCCCAACAACAGGGAAGCAGTTTGGTAAAGGATTTATCAATAATTTCCAAATTAGACAGCCGCTTCACTGATACATTCATAAGGACTTCATAACACCCCAAAAAATGTTAACAATTTTTTAGGTGAAACTTCAGAAGGGAAAATTCTGCCCCTTCCCCTTAAAACTTCCACAAGAACATACCCTGGAGTATAAAGAAGGAACAGAATACAAAAAGAGCAACAAATGTTTCAGTTAATGGGCTTATAGATACATTGTTGTCCTCTTTTCCAATTTTTTCTGTTAAGTTTTATTTTTAAAATAAATATCTTTTAATTACCATGAACTCCAGCAATCCCATTTCTGGGTATATATGCACAGGAATTGAAAGTAGGGTCTCAAAAAGATATTTGTACACCCTTGTTTATGGTAACATTAATCACAATAGCCAACAGGTAAAAGCAACCCAGATGTCCATCGGTGGAGGAGTAAACAGAATGTGGTCCAACCATACAATGGAATATTGCTCAGCTTTAAACGGGAAGGAAATCCTGACACCTGCTAAAATATGGATAAACCTTGAAGACAATTAGGTCAGTGAAACAAAGCCGGTCACAAAAGTACAAACACTGTACAATTCTCCTTATCTGGGGCACCTAGAGTAGTCGAATTTGTATTCGTAGACAAAGGAAATAGAATAGTGAGTGCCAGGGGCTGAGGGAGGAGGGAATCAGCAGTTAGTGTTTAATGGGGATGGAGTTTTAATTCTGCAAGATGAAAGAGTTCTGTTATCCACAGGAGTGTGGATACACTTAACACTACTGAACTGCAGCTAAGACAGCAAATTTTATGATATATATTATATATACACACATATAATATATATATTAGCACAATTTTAAAATAAATACCATGTTGTTTTAAAAGAATGTCTTTCATTCCTCAGTCATCTCGTGTAGTAAAGGCATGTAGTAAGTGACAACTAGGTACAGAATGCTTGATTAGTTGGCTGATAAAATGCCTTAAATTAGGAAGATAGAGATCTACCACCCACTGAGTAGCAGAGTGATATTTTGAAAAGTCACATCTGTCCAGGTCATGCCTCTCCTTGAAGCCTTCAGTGGCTCCCCCTTGCTCTCAAGATAAAGTTCAAACTCCCGAGTGGCTGTCAGCCTTGGTAAAGTGCTTTATACACGACAGCACCTTTAATCCTCACAACAACCCCGAGAAGTAAGCCCTTTACAGATGAGAACCGTGATGCCCAGAGAGGTTAAGTAATTTGCCAGAGCTCACATTGCTGGTGCGAGCCAGAGCCAGGTCTTCTAACCAGAGTCCATGCTCATAAGCCCTACCCCAAACCATGGCTCTGTCTGTGCCCATTGCCCCAGCCCACCTCCCCCCACAGACCCAGACATCTTCTCCCTGTCATGTGGGAAGACCATGCATCTCCCAATGTCCTCTTTTAACATCTCTAACACACCACACCCCTCTTTCCTTGACAACTCTAGGGCTCTTCCTGGCAAAAACCATCTCTCACACCAAAGCTGGAGAGAGTCCTCCCTGATACTCCCTCATCACTGGGTGACTTTGGTCAAAGCATCGAGCCTCCATGTTGTCACTGTCTGTGTTTATGAACTCCTCCCCATCTGACTGACACTGCCCTTCACCCTTGCACTCTTAGTCCTGGGAACAGTATTTGCTGGGTTCAGAGTGAAGGCGGGAAGGCAAGAAGGAGAGATGGGAGAGAGGAAGGGAAACTGGTTCTTTCTGGTCTCACTAAGGTTCTCCACATTGTCACTGGAATCACTATATGTCTCTGTCACCATGGATTTGACTCCCCTGAAATAAATAACCAACAAATGAATTGTCAGTGATTCCAAGACAATATGCCGTAGATTGGGTGCCTTAAAACAACAAAAATGTGTTTGCTCACAGTCTGAGAGGCCAGAAGTCCAAGATCAAGGTGTGGGCAAGGTTGGTTTCTCCTGGGACCTGCCCCCCACCCTGACTTGTGGATGGCCGTCTCCCTCCAGCCTCCTCACATGTTCTTCCTTCTCCGTGAGTCTGTGTCCTAATCCCCCCATTCTTATAAAGACACCAACTCTATTGGAATAGGGCCACCCCTATGACCTCATTTAACCTGAATTATCTCCAAAAAGACCCTATCTCCAAATACAATCTTTCAGTGACCCAGAGGAGAGACTGTAATGGCACAGGGTCTCTTTCAGAGGTGACAAGAATGGTCTAAGATGGATTGTGGTGACGGTTGCACAGCCCCATGAATATACCAAACCACTGATTTGTACAACTTAAAGGGCTAAATCGTATGATGTGTGAGTTACAGCTCCATAAAGCTTAATGAACTATGTTCAAATTTCACCCCTTCTACCCTTTGCTGGTAGACTCAAGCTTGGCAAGATTTCCTGACTCTCCGTTACAAGTTCTACCTCATAGGATTCCCACAAAGATGGCCAAGGAAACACAGAGACCCATTTTTCAGGGGAGGCAGCTGAAGGACTGAGCCTCAGGGAAGGAGTCAAACCTACCTTATGCTGTCCCCCCCAGTGCATCCCTTTCATACACACCCTGGGATGCACGTAATGGGAGCCAAGGCAACATAAATAAACATTGTCAGTTACCTGCAACAGAGTATGTGCTGCATGTGTGACCGGGAAGACTCCTTCGGTGGCTGATAGACATTCAGAAAATCCAATGAAGTACCCAACTTTAAGGCATCCCAGGATGATGGTAATGGCCGCAAACAGTGTGATACTACCTAAATTGAGCGGGGGGAGAGCATAGAAGCACACACCTATAAGTGCTGATATTCATGGAAGTTATTTCCAAACAAACCACATTAAACCCTCACTGATACAGTCAAATGACTTTGACGAGGCTGCCAAGACCATTCAGGGAGGAAACGGCAGTCAATTCCACAAATGGCGCTGGGAGCACAGATATCCAATCGCAGAAGAATGAAGTTTACCTCACCTTCCACTACATACAAAAATTAACTCCAAATAAATCAACATTTTGAATGTAAAACCTAACATTATAAAACTCTTAGAAGAAAACATAGAGGAAAATGTTTACAGTGTTGGACTGGGCAGTGATTTATTGGATAGGACACCAAAAGAACAAGCAGCCAAAATTAAGATGGATACATTGGACTACATCAGAATGAAAAAGCCTTTGGCTATCGAAGGACACTAGCAGCCCCCAGAAGGGAAGAAAATATTTGTGAACCGTGTATCTGATAAGGGGTTAGTATCCAGAATCCATAAACAGCTATAATTCAACAACAACCAATAAAAATGCCAATTAAAAATGAGCAAAAGACTTGAATAGATTATTTCTCCAAGAAAGACTTATAAATGGCTAATTAATGCATGAAAAGATGTCCAACATAATTCATCATCAAGGAAACGCAAATTGAAACCACAATGAGATAGCACCTCACAGCTATTAGGATGGCTGCTAGCAACGCCCCCCCAAAAAAACCAAACAAATAAAAAACAAAAATAGGAGAGAGAAAGAAAGGAAAGAAGAAAAAAATAACAAATATTAGCAAGGATGTGAAGAAATGGGAACCTGTGTACCCTGCTGATGGGAAGGTAAAATGGTGCAGTCACTGGAAACAGAACGTCTGTTTCTCAAAGAATTAAAAGAGTATTTCCACCTGGTCCAGAAATCCCACTTTTGGGTATATCCCCAAGAAGATCAAAACCAGGGACACAAAAGGCTATTTGTACATCCATGTTTGTGACAGCTTTATTTACAACAGCCAAGAGGTAGAAGCCAACCAAGTGTCCGTTGACTGATGAAGGGATCAACAAAATGAGGTCCATCCAGACAATGGAAAATGATTCAGCCTCAGGAAGGGACACCATTCTGACACAGGCTCCAACACAGGGGAAGCTAGTGACATAAGCCAGTCACAAAAAGACAAATACCATATGATTCCACTTACCTGAGGTTCCTCAGAATAGTTAAATTCATAGAGACAGAAAGGAGAGTGCTGGGTGCCAGGGGCTAGGAGAGAGGAGAATAGTCAGTTGTGGATACAGAGTTTAAGTTTTGCAGGATGGAAGACTTCCGGATGTAAACTGTCATAATGTCATTTTACTTAATGCTACTGAACAGTACACTTTCAACTAAGTCAGTAAACAAGTCAGTAAACTTTATGTTATGTATATATATGTATATATGCACAATTAATTAGATATACACAATTAATTAATATACATAATTAATTAATAACACAGTTTTGTGTCCTGTTCATCATTGTTCCCACCCAATGTGTATCCCGGGGTCTGACAAATGATATACATTCAATAAAGATTGCCCAAATAAACAGAAGGCCTCTGGAAGCTTCTCCCAAAGAATGATTAATCTAAGAATGCCACTGCTATGCTCAAAAATCTCAGTTCTCAGGGCGCCTGGGTGGCTTAGTGGGTTAAAGCCTCTGCCTTCGGCTCAGGTCATGATCCTAGGGTTCTGGGATCGAGCCCTGCATTGGGCTCTCTGTTCAGCGGGGAGTCTGCTTCCCCTCTCTCTCTCTCTCTCTCTGCCTGTCTCTCTGCCTACTTGTGATCTCTGTCAAATAAATAAATAAAATCTTTAAAAAAAAATCTCAGTTCTCCAATCTGAAAATCCTGCTCTCAAGAAAATAAAGGGGAGGGGCATACGGGTATCCAGGACCTCTCTGTACTATCCTTGCAACGTGCAACTCTTCAGTAAACCTAAAAATTTCTGAAATAGAAAGAATCTTTTTAAAACTGATAGGAAGTGGGAATCCATAACAGTGGCGTGGCAACGACCACCACTAGGTAGGGTGAAAAAAGGAAGCATCCATCCTTTGACAGTACATCCGGCATGGTTTCAGACAAACAATAAAAACAAACAAAAAAGATTCCTATGAGAAAAAAAGACTGGAAAGGAATATACAAAATATGTTAAAAAGAAACGTGTAACAAACAAAAATATTAGCAAGAAAAACACAGTGATCCTGGAGCCTTGATCAATGTCAAATTTCCTAATCCTTCTCCTGGGCCAACATTGACCGCCATTCATACGTTCTCTCCCACGAATGGGAGGAAACTGGATCGTGTGTGACGTGCATTGTGGTGAGAGAGAGAGGACAGACTGATAACAGTGAGCTATAACATTACAGCTCCAGCCTGAGAAGCCCCCGTGAAAAGTAATGCAATCGCCTGGCTCCTTTCCATTGCTCAAAGCCTTATAGAAACAACTCTAAGTCACATTTTTTTTTTCATCTTGGAAAGCCCCCAGTGAAATCAAAGACTTAGTAAGAGTGGAGATTCAGTCCCAGGGCTTTGAAATGGTTGACAAATGCACAGTTCATTTTGGTTACAAAGGAGATAGCAAGATGAGGTAAGGCAGCATGGCTGTAGCTCTGGGGACCTGGGCACAGGTCCAGGCTGTACCACCGATGGCATGTGTGAGTTCAGGCAAGTCATTTCCCTGCTCCTAGCCTCAGTTTCCCCATCTGGAAGATGAGACTGGTTCTCAAACTTGAACATGCATCCAAATCACCTGGAGGGCTTATTGAAACACAGATGGTGGGGCTCCACACCCAGAGTTTCTGATTCCAGAGGCTTGGGTGGAGCCCCAAAATTGGTATCTCTAACAAGTTCCCAGGTGGGGCTGACACTGTTGATCTGGGACCCCGCCTTGAGAACCATTGGTCTAGAACGTCCCAGTCACTGACATTTCAAGAGGTATGATAAATACATCGTATAACTTCTCATAGTCTTGAAGTCCTTCCTTCCTTTATCCATCCATTTATGTGTACAATAAATATTCTGGGGACTCCTACTATGCATGTGGCATTTTGCCAGGGGCTCAAAGGTAAACAAACAAGATTGCTGGAGAAACAAAAATACACATGTGTAATATTGCATAAAACTGGGGTGTGCACAAAAATGTAGAGGTGCAAGCTGGCACCAGACTTCTTAACAGCAACATGGGAAACCAGAAGCCAGTGGAAAAGCAGCTAGAGTTCACTTCAAGGAAAGGACTGCGGGGGCGCCTGGATGGCTCAGTTAAGTGGCTGCCTTCAGCTCAGGTCATGATCCCAGGGTCCTGGTATCAAGCCCCACATCGGGCTCCCTGCTCAGCGGAGAGCTTGCTTCTCCCTCTCCCTCTGCCTGCTGCTCTGCCTACTTGTACTCTCTCTCTATCTCTCTGTCAAATAAATAAATAAAACCTTAAAAAAAAAAAAAAAGGAAACGACTGCATTCCAGCCAACATGTCACCTGCTTGTCAGGGCAGAAGACAGAAAGCAATTTGAAGATAGGCTAGATGTAATTCATTCAACAACTATTTGTTGAGTACCAACTGTGGTCCAGCCACTGTCCCAGGCACCGGAGACATAGAAAGGACAATAAAATAAAGTGTCTGCTCTTGGTGAGTTTCACATTCTACTGGGGAAGACAGAGAGTAGAGGAGAGGGGAGTGTCATCCACATAACTCATCTGACAAAGGACTTAACCAAACAGCCAGTGAACTGAGGGAAGGTCCTCATCATTGGGAAGATGAAAAGGAGAGGGAACAATGGTGAGAAATAAACTTAGCAAAAGATTGGAGAGGATGGGTGTATAATGGAAGGAGGGAGGCACAGAGGGTATAAAATGGTAGGATGGTTGGGTGGATGGGTCAGAAGGTGAATTGTCCAGTAGATACATAAATAAATTAATAGGAAAGAAAAATAGGATAAGAGAAATTAAATTCAAATTGATGAAGATAAACCCACTGGAGGGGCACCCAGGTGGCTCTATTGGTTAAGTGTCTGACTTTAGGGCATGATCTCAGGGTCCTGGAATCGAGCCCCTCATTGGGCTCTGTGCTTAGTGGGATGTCTGCTTCTCCTTCACTCTCTCCCTCCACCCCTCCACTTGTCCTCTCTTTCTCTCTCAAATAAATAAATAAAATATTTTTAAAAGACCATTGGAAATGCATAATTTACATATTCTATTAAAAACTTTGTGATACAGAATAGAGTTAAGGCCTACAGGTGGGAAGCAGGCATAGAAAACATTTCAAAGGTCTCAAGATAAAGAGATAAGCAGTAGGTAAAAAGAGGGGCAAAAGAGAGAAGCAGGGGCACCTGGGTGGCTCAGTCAATTAAGCATCTGCCTTCAGCTCAGGTCATGATCTCAGTGGTCTGGGATCGAGCCCCATGTCGGGCTCCCTGCTCACCTGGGAGTCTACTTTTCCCTCACCCTCTACCTGTCCCCACTGCTGGTATGCACGCTCTCTCTCTCTCAAATACATAATAAATAAAAATCTTTAATAAAAAAAATTACAAAGAGAGAGAGAAGCAAATGTATTTCACAGATCTCATCTCAGTGGAGCAGAGAGTAAGTGGGGGAATCTTGGAGCCAGCAGCAATGTGCCTTGATCGGGGAAATGTTTGGTGTTTCTTTTGGGGGGTGGATAAGAATGGAGTTATATACATCTGACTGTGAGAAGGAAGAAAGGAAAGACAGTCATTAATTTAATAGAAAGGCACAGTAAAATGTTCAAGTGCTCGAAAAAACAAATGTGGAGACCAACAATGACTATTAAGGAGGGCACAGATTGCATGGCGCATTGGTTGTTACATGCAAACACTGAATCATGGAGCACTACATCAAAAACTAATAATACCCAGGAATAAATCTAACCAAAAAGGCAAAGAATCTGTACTCAGAAAACTATAGAGTACTCATGAAAGAAGTTGAGGAGGACACAAAGAAATGGAAAAACATTCCA